CAGGTGTTCAAATACTTATGTTCAGCAGTGCAAGACAAATAAATTCTTTAAAAATCATACAATGTGATTTCCTGAAATTTTTTTTTAATTCTGTCTGAGTGGGAATGCACCTACAATGTGAATTTCAGACCCCTCCATTTCTAAGTGGGAGAACTTGCAAAATCGCAGGGTGTTCAAATACTTCTGTTCCTCACTGTATGTGTAGTGTCAGTGGGCACATATGGATGGGCCTTAAAGAGCACCGAAATACAGAGAAGGCAGAGGAGAAAGAGGAAGTTCCAGGGGAGGTTGAAGAGGACAAAGGAATTATTATTAAAATGCTGTGGCAGAATGCTTAGAAAAGTTAAGCTTTTAATAAGTAAAGATAATCATAAAATGATTTATGTGTTTTTGTTTGAAATAATCAGTGAATGTGTTAAATAAAATGTGAAATGGTTGTACTGCAAGGATGGGGGAACAATGAGTTAAAGGAAACTCAACATCAAGTGTCTCAGTAAGGTGCTGGGCCACCATGTGCCACCAGAACAGCTTCAGTGCACCTTGGCATTGATTCTACAAGTTTCTGGACTCTACTGGAGGGATGAACACCAGTCTTCCAAAAGATATGCTCTCATGTGGTGTTTTGATGATTGTGGTGGAAGCGCTGTCTAACACATTGCTCCAAAATCTCCCATGTGTTCAACTGGCTGTGAAGGTCGCAGCATATGACTGGCATCATGTTCACACATCAAATCATTCAGTGACCCCTTGTGCCCTATGGATGGTGGGTACTGTCATCTTGTAGGAGACGATCATTTATTGAGTTTTTTTTTTTCCTTTAATTTGACACCTGTTTGTGTGTCAGTGTGTTTCAGAGGATTTGTTCCAGAATTTATTTCAATTTATTTTACATTGTACAAGCAACAGTCTTTACAATTGGTTTCCTAAGAAATAGGTGAAATAATACATTATTTTTGGATGAATGATGATGGACAAGCATCTGCATCTTGTTACACAATGACAGTATATTTTACATGGAAGGAAACAATCATTCAGGTATTTAGAAAGGCTACACAAGGTTATAAAAGTGAGTGCAAAAATCAGTCGCCAGGAACATCTGAGTGGGATGGGAAATTGGGGACAGGATTTGCTGAGACCAAAAAGACGAAGCATCAAGTGAAAAGCTCATTTCTGCTGTCATCATGGAATTAAAAAAGGTCCTAATCCTTAGCAGATGAAAAGGTAACTTCATATGGCAGTTCTCACCCAGCCACATGAATTCATCTGACATTTTAATGATCTTTCCACAGCATTTAGAGTCGACAGGATCGCTGCTGGCCATCTGAGGATTTGTAATTTTTTCCCCCCCGACATTCCAAGAGACGTTGCAGCCAAAGATGGACTGCTCCAAGCTGATCCACTCTCCATCCTGGCAGTGGTTCTTTTGACGCAGGAGATGGTTCACTGCGTCCTGCATTGTCTGGTTGGTGATTTGAACCAGGGAGGCTTTCATTTTGCGGCAATGTTCCAAGGCATCAATCCAGCTTTTGGCTTCATCGTTGAACAAAATTTTCAGTTTTATATAATGCTGCCATATTTCTCTTATCCCTTTGAATATACCTCATTTGCAAATCTTTGATTAGCTCCATTGTCTCATGATGACACTTCACTTCAACAAAACATTTTACAGATTGTGCAATTATTTTTCCACTTCCCTTTTATAGAAGTATGGTGTCATCTAGGTTTCCAATACATTTTTTTAAGGGGGGAATTTTGGGAAGTTAAATTTATGAAAAAAAATCATGATACAAATTAAATTAAATTATATAAATTAAAATAAGAGTAAGTGTAATTTCTCATTTTTATTTGGCTCTTTTATTGCCAGAGACAACTGTTACACAAAGACATTAAAAGCATTGGTTATTTCACTGTAACAAACAAAATTAAAAACCAAGAGTAAAAGAGTTTTTAAGTAGTATTTTGGTAGCCGTGCTCAGAGATTCACTGTATTGAGTGGTTCAGAGAACAGAGACAGTCCATTGCTGTGTGATTTGGGTAGTCTGTGCCCTTTGTTCACATTCTGGTACTCAAATAATTGTCACTTTATTGTGTTCATGGCTTTAGACTGTGCGCTTCATGCAGGTGGCGTTAAGGTCATGGCGGCAGCTTGAACGGTGAAGGCTGCTATGCTGATTTGACGCTTCACTTCCTCCCAGGACTTCTCTGGGGCAGCTGAGTTCTTGATGTCAAACAATGCATCGAAGATCCCAGGGAAAGACTCCCCCGCATATTTATTATGACTGCTGGGAGCAAAGATCACATGTCTGAAACAGAGGAGAAACAAGGGCTAGTGTTAACATAAGAGAATGAACTAGATGGAGTGAGTTTTCTGAAGAGTTTAAAATGCATCAGATAACGACAACAGAAGGAATTTAGTACCACGCCCCTGTGGAATATGCAGGGTGACAGGTTTGAAAGTAAACTTAGCTTGTTGTACAGAGGAGAAAATGTCAACTTGAGATGACTAAGATCATCTGAATGCAAAGCACAGAGACTAGTAGAATTCACGTTTTCCCACAGTGGAGACACATAATGCTACTTTAATGGCCCGAGAGCAGCACACAGGTGTAAAGATAATGCTTTACATTCTGAGGTTCACAATACTACAAGTGTGCTGCGGGGTCTTTTTCTGCACCTCTCAGATGATAAACAAGCCCATCCCACAGTCTGCTGGTTAGACAGTTCAGCTGTGCTTAAATTAAAAGTAGGTGGGAGAGATCACAGGCATGTTATTAAACAAACTCAGCGCTGGTCTGATGCTGGGTTTAATATTACTGACCATAGCAAGTCGGTTAGAGCCTACACTTCTCTGCCTGTACAAGGTGGTGAGACTCCTGCCTGGTTCATGTAAAATCAAATGTGTGTGACACAAACCTGTAGAAAGGCCTTCCAGGTAGGCCCAGGGGGTCTATAAACGCTCTCTCCAAGTACATGAGCTGATCATTCATGGCACGTACCTGCAGAGAACTGATACACACACACACACACACACACACTTAGCTGTAGTAAGTAGCAATACCAATTTAAGTCCAGGCTGGTATCGCTGATAACCAAGAGTAATACTTTGTGCAGCAAAACAAGTGAATGTGATGGGTCCAGACAACAGAGAGTGATATAGGAGAGAGAGGATAGGCTATAAGGTGCATTTATAAGGGCTTATTGCTTTTATTAACAACAACTGGTGCCACCCTGCTCACATACTGTGAAAGAAGGTTTCTGCAGTCCAGATACTGAACTGTTGGCAGTGGGACTATGTCCATACTACACATGTACAGGGACCCTTTACATGCCAATTTGGTTGTTTACTTCCTTCCAATCAGCAACTGCATATGACAGCTACTCTGTTGCCAAGAGACTCCCGACTGAATGTTTCTTTATCGGCTGTCTCACGCATTTGTAGAGCTGTACTTCACATACACTATGTCTGTGACAGGCAGAAGGAGAAGTAGTTCCTGTCACATGTGTATAGACTGTACTGGATAGCATACTTACCATCTCATGTCCCACCTGTTGAAAACAAATTTAGATCTACCCCAAACTAGCCTTTTTATTCTTTTAGATATCGATCTTTTAACATGGGAATTGATCCTAGAACATGAAACATTGCGATCGGAAGTATCAGTATTTCAGGATCACTCTGCACATCACTGTTAGACTGAAAATTGCAGGTAGAAATCAGAGCACATTCTCCAACACACTAAAGCTCTAGTTTGGACACCAAAAATGTATGAAATGTTAAACTCTTACTCTGCTCTGTTGAGAGTCTTCAGGCGTTCATGGAAATCCCAGCTGGCAACAGTGAAGTTCTTCACTGCAGAAAACAGTGAATCTGGAGAAACAACATTTAATGCAGACATATTTTAGAAAACGTTTGTCATTTAAATCAAACTACTAGACTTACAGTTTCAGGCCACAGCACAATATGTGAATTATGTCTTGTATAAATTAATCATCTTATAACTGACAGCACCTTTATAATTTTTGGTTCATTATTAATACCAACTGATCAACTCACCAAACGACACCTTATACATCTTCATCTCGTCTGGGTTTTTCTGTGCCACCTTTGCAATGCTCTCTGCGTACTTCGTTAGTGAGTCTGCATACTGGTTAGCATCAAGAGGGAGGAGTTGGGAATCGGCGAGTTGGAAGATGAGCCCAGCTCTCACCTGCGCCACTGCATGAAGCCTCCTGAAGGAGGGGTCGTAAAACTTCTCCACGACCTCATAGGTTTCATACACACTGTGATAGACTGGATAACTGCTGTATCGCTCTGTTTTCTGAATGCAGAGGACACATAAGACATTTTGGAGTAACTTTTGCTACAATAACACTGGCCTCAGCCTATGCTACTTCGAACCTTAACTCAGTCCTTATACATGCAGTATTGAATGACAATAGACAGGAATAAACCCAGTCATAAATGAGGATGTAGCTAACACCTAGAAGCTGTAAACACATGCAAGTACACAAACATTGCCAGCACACTACTGTATATACAGTGCTGTGCAAATGTCTTAGGTTTTGGCTGCTGTCCTTGCACCAAGGCAGTTCCTGCTCAAGCCTCTTGGACTGTGGAAGGACCAGCCTGGCATCCAGATGAAACTGCCAGACGCTGAGCCAGCTCCTTGCTGGGGTCATCGGGTTTCTCAAAGAAGAAACTGAGAAACTTCTCATCAGATTCTGACAGTTTTCTTGGTCTTCTACTCTTTTTTTTTTGTCCTTGACCTCTCTGGATTCCTCATGTTGCTTTAGAACAGCTTGAATACCACATCTTGAGTATCCAGTTTGTTTTCTGATTTTTTTCCCCTGACACTTTTGTACACAGTATTAACAAAAGTAGTGGTGGACAAACAGAAGAAGGCCGTAGAAATAAATGTAACAATCCCAAGCGATAGCAACATCAGGAAGAAGGAACACGAGAAGCTTGAGAAATACCAAGGGCTGAAAGAAGAGCTAGAAAAGATGTGGAAGGTGAAGGCACAAGTGGTCCCTGTGGTAATAGGAACATTGGGGACTGTGACCCCCAAACTGGGAGAGTGGCTCCAACAGATCCCAGGAACAAAATCTGAGATCTCTGTCCAGAAGAGTGCAGTCCTGGGAACAGCTAAGATACTGCACAGGACCCTCAAGCTCCCAGGCCTCTGGTAGAGGAGCCGAGCTTGAAGGAAGGAATACAAGACCGCCCCGAAGTGGGGGCGAGTGGGGGATATATATCCACCATAACATTGTTAAAACAACAAATTTAACAGTGGTCTAAAACCTCTGAACAGTACTGTGTGAAGTATGTAATAGTTTATGACATAGGGATTTTTGTGTTCAAATACATTCAAATTAAGAATTTCTTCTAGGTAAACGAGAGAACATATAATGCATATGTTTAATACATACTGTATTGAATGTTTGTGTTATGTAGGTACATAACAGACAAATAAATATACATACAATCACACAACACATTAGCAACATATGTTTAATTAATCTCCATAGAAAGTACCTGGTTCTTGGTGTATCTTGATCTGCCTGCGGTGATTCCCAGACGGATGAAATAGGCCTCAAAGTCACTGCCTGAGCCCAGTTTATTGATTCTACAATGTGAACAACATTCTTGATTAAAAAAAAAAACTGACTAGCTGAGACAGACAAATTTTACATTCCAAACATAACACCCTCCTCAGTTATGCGTCTTACTCTTTGTATTCTCAATCATCTCTGCTCAGTTCTGATTTCACTGCTGCCATGTTGTTTTGCTTTAACCTTGTGTATTTTACTGTTGTGGTTTAGTTGTGTAGACCCTGCCTCTGACCTGAACAAGCAACTGATTGTGAGGCTTTGTACCTGGGTGCATCGCGGTCCCCTGTCCAGTTGTCTCTTTTATGCCAGCTCTCGTACAGAGACACCCCCTTCTCTCCTTCTTCTGGACTGGCTATCTACACACAAAGATAGATGGAGAAAGAGACAAGGTGCAGAGAAATACAGTGACACAGGGTAAGAGAATGCATAACAGACTTCGGTTATTTACTCGTATCAATTTCAGATTTTGTTGCCTGCTCACCTGCTTGGTGATGTCATACACCAAAGTGTGTAGAGATGGCGTGCAGTCAACCCTCAGTGTGTACATGCCTGAAAATCAAAAACATACACACTAGTCCTATGAAAACTAATCCAGGCTCAACCACTATCTGTACTGTTTCTTGTGAATACTGAGCCACACACCCTCGATGGCAGAGTCTGCATTGATATAGGCCACAGCTCTCTCCTGTAGCACCCTGGAATTTTCCTGTTGAAAAAGGATGAAGTGTGGTCAGTACCATGATTGAGTGTGTGTGTGTGTGTGTGTGTGTCTATGTGCATGTACAGTACAGTGTGTGATACCTCTGCCCATTCTGTAGACCCCTGAAGCCCAAACTCCTCTGCATCCCAACTGGCAAAGATTATAGTCCTTCTAGGCCTCCACCCTGTGCGCACACACACACACACACACTGAGGACTGATGGTTGACACAATTATTCAAACATACACTCACATGCAGGAAGATGTTGTACCTTTACTGAGCAGCTTGCCAGCGCTCCTGACAATTTCATGGACCACAGCAGCACCAGACATGGGATCAATTCCTCCAAATACCCAGGCATCCCGGTGCCCGCCCAGAATCACATACCTGTCTATACAGACACACACACACATGTATTTCTTGCCAGGTTTGGTTAAAGCTGTAGCATTTAAAACAGACTGAAGCTATTAGTTTTGTCTCTCTGACTGTTACTTGCAAAGAATTGGGCAACCTTTTCTGACCAAATTAAATTACTTTATTCTTTCGTAATTTGCTATCGATGATTAGATCAGTATTAGTCATTAGGGATTATTATTGTTACTTGCACATGTTGACTGTGTGTTAACTGTTGCTGAAAGCTTTAGTGAAGCTTTCAGCAACAGTTTGTACCTGGCTCCAGAGCTCCTCTAATTCTTCCAATGACGTTGTAGATCCTGGTTACCTGGTTGTTAACATGGATGTTCATACGCACCGTCCTGACGGGGAAAAGACAGATGGAGGTGAAACAGATCAGTAGAGTTACATTAACAGGCTGAGACTAGAAAAGACTAACATTTGCAAAAGATTTGTTTTTAAAAAGCAATGGAAGCATGTTCATCTTATTTTAATTTTACATACTGTCCCAATGTTTTCTGATTTGCAGTTGTAATTACAAACAAAAATAAACAAATGAAAAGAGAGAAATCAAGGGTAGGGAGGATACATCCAACACTAACTGCAGCATAGAAGTCATTTACAGTCTGTACGGAAAGTATTCAGACCCTTTCAGGTTTTCCACATTTTATGTTTCAGACTCAAATTAAAAGGGATTGAATTAAAGTTTTTCCTCAATCTGCACACAGTACTCAATAATGATAAAATTGAAAAAGGTTTTTGGAGTGTTCTGTAAATGTATTAAAAATGAAAGATGAGAATATCCCATTTACATACAGTAAGTATTCAGAGCCTTTGTTATGGCACTTTAAAATGAACTCTGGTGCATCATACTCCTGTCAGTGGTCATTGAGATGCTTCTACACCTGTGCCTAATTTAATGCATTGGATATAATTAGGAAAGGCACACACCTGCCTGTATTAAGGTCTCATAGTGGATGGTGTATGTCAGTGAAAACAAAGCCATGGAGGTCGAGAAAACTGTCCACAGACTTGTGAGACAGGATTGTGTCTACACACAGATCTGGGGAGGGATACAAGAACATTTCTGCCAGAGCATGGCAGCCTCCATTATTCTTAAATGGGAGAGATTTGGAACCACAACCAGTATTCATCGATGTGGCCACCCAGCCAAACTGAGTAATCAGGGACAAAGTCTGAAAACTTTCTGTACTGACTGTATGAAGTATGTTTTACAACTCAGACATCAGATCAACAGAAAAAAAATAAATGTAAGAGAATAAGTGATAGACACATATAATGTTGTTGTTTCTCCAGAAACTCCCCTGATTCCTGCAATGCTGTTGTTGTATACGAGTGTACGCTCCATGCTTTATTTGTGAGGCGTTGGTGTGTGTGTGTGTGTGTGTGTGTGTGTGTGTACATCTCTCACACACAGGAGGCACAAGGGCCCCCTTTGTACTTCAGTTGGCTACTTGCCACCGACTCATTAAAGCTGAGCAAGAACAGGGGAGTGACAAGAGGGGAGAGAATTCAAAACACTAAAATGCAGCAGTGAAGCAGCAGAGGAGAGACCATCATCAGGACAGGAAAGGGGTTCATTTAGAAAAACAGATGGAGGATAGGACAATCACATTATCAAAGGGTGAAGTGGACACAAGTGGTCACTTGGAGAAAAGCTTAGTGCAAGGACGTACTGATTCTTGAAATTGTCTGCAAAGCCTGGACCAATCCTGTAGGAGATGTTCAGAGCTCCTTTCCAATTGTCAGGTGGGTTTGGTCCTCCCATGTTCCTGTTAAACGGTAAATAATTCACATATTCTGTAAATAATACAAACCAGCTGCTCATTTGAATAAAAAAAAATTTACTGTCTTGCCCTAAATTCCAAATTCAATTAAAGTAGTTTTGAAAACTGGCCTGCTCTGCATGAAACTAAACCACATCATCATTGTTAAGTGTGGGAAATAAAATGAGAAACATCTGTACTTGAGCAGCTGGACTGCATCATGGAAGCCGATTGGATGCACAGGAATCTTGGGAAGTCCCACTCCATCCTCGAGCTTTAATCTGTGGGTGTATTCTGTAAAGAGAGGAGATGGGACAGTGTCACACATGTATACACTCCTATGGGCTCTGACACATGGCACACACACCTTTAGCAGGGTACCCTGGTGTGAGCGGGTCTCCTGCTCCGTTCAGGTTGAGGACGTTTCCTCTCTGAGCTCCCCCACCAGGCAGGTTCCAGCCATCAGGGTAGGGCTGTACACACACAGACACAACTTTACTTTAGTCCACTAACTGCATGTGTAGACATAACTTGGATAGTTAGAGGGTGTATACATTCTTGAATCCGATGCTGTCTGTCATGAGCTGCCAGTGGTGAAAGTCAAATGAAGTCTAATGGGGCATCTGAATCATTCATTTATAATAGTTAGTAAATGTTTGTTTAAAGGCCAGTCATATTCAGGTTCACCTGTCTGAGCAACACTCCGGTCAACATTCTGGTTAAAAATTATCCACTACCTGGACTCCAGTAGCCCAGTAATCTGCGGGGTCTGAGAACATAATGATCCCCTTTGCTCCGGCTAAGATGGCGTTCTTCACCTGGCGGATAGAGATGGACCGAGAGGAGTGAGTCATTCTGATGGCATGCACTAAAAAGATGTGTGAGAAATGTGAAAATATATTTTAAATGCCACAGTTTGGTCAATTAATAATTAGTTCCGAGGAACACTTACTTTGTTGCCTCTGAATATTTTCCCATATCTGACAATGACAATTTTTCCGGTTGCATTGATGCCTATCTCCCTCTCCAGCTGGAAAAAGTCCTCTGTACGACCATAGTTCACATACACCAGCTCCCCCTGGAGAGAGGGACAGAAGGGTTGGTCTTGTTTAACAGGCGAGGATGAGGCTCTGTAAGGTCTATAATCCAGTTAAGATAATTTACTCATACAGTTAAAAGTAAAGTGTCGCTCTGTGTCAGTGTGATTGCTTGTGTGTGTACCTCAGGTTGTCCTGTGGCAGAGAAAGCACTGTATGGAGGAACGATGTTAGGAACATTTTCATAACCCTTAGGAACTGGCTCAGCCAAGGAAGTGTTGAAAACCTAAGAAAAAAAAAGATGAAATTAGGTCAAATCAAATTAGAGGAAATGTAATGAGTTAGCTCTTTATTCTTTATAGTAAATGCTTTAAAATTTGTACTTGTGTACGTTCTTTTCATGCACCTTTATAGTTCCTCTGTACTACATTTGACACTGTTTCTGAAGTTTTACTAAATTCATCGGTGTATTGACATTAGCAGCTGGTTAATCCATAATGGAAAAATCATCATTTGTTGCAGCCTTGTACAAAATATGTAATAAGTAACTGCTCCTCATCCTACTACAACAGTCAAATGCTGCTTACACATTCATGAGAAATAGTAATCTTATCATCTCATATTATAATATTATACTTTTGATGCTTTAACCTCACATACTCTTATTTACATAACATTTTCAATCCTTTCCGTTGTAATGCAGTTAATAATAATAATGTAATTTTACTTAAATAAAAGGATCTGACTACTTGCTCCCTCATCATGAATAAGAGATCAAACTGTAAATGCTCAAAGTTTCACATTATTCGTCCTATCCGAATGAATTTTGTGAAATATATCTGCAGCTGATCCTGATCTGCTGACAGCTGGAAACTGGACTTTGAGTTTCTGCTGTGCATGTTGTTGAGACCTGACGATCGTTTGTGGATCCGTGTGCTGTTCCCCATGTGGTTGGCAGCTGAAATATGTAACTGAAGTAGATGAAATGCATACACTTGCAGTATTTTATAACATTGCCCTGTAGTAAACCCTGATATGTTTTCCATCTGTGCATGTACAGAGGTTTATTTCACAACAAGGCTTTAAAAGGACCTTGAACTTCTGTGAGCCGTCTTGCAGTTTTATGGTGATGACTAACTGCAGGGAGGCAGAGGTTGGGTCTTGAGCAGTATGCGGTTGTGCTTTCTAACATGTGTGATCTCTACACTGCAACTTTGTTATATCCCCAGACAGACTGCATAGTCAGAGCTTGAATTAGTGTTATTGTTCATGTGTGTGAGAAATTCATAATCCCTTTGAAACTTTAGCCACCAATGGGTAAGTGTGAAGAATAGAGCACTTCATCTAAGTGAAAATTGGCTAATGTGACAAATGTGTAATCAGTAAACCAAAGCAAACTCAGTTCGTTGCCATGAACACCAGACCATCACAGGGGAAGATTTAACAGATAGCTGTGTGATAAACTGGAATGACTGCCACCCCAGTGCTATAATAGATGGGAGCAAAAAATAAAGACAATAATGAACCAGAAACAAGTACCGAGTATTTTTTTGCAAGTAATAATTGTGCAAAAACAGATTTTTCTTGGGTGTTAATGTTCTCCCTGCATTCATTCTTCTCAGCGTGTGTATTTGACAGTATGTATCCATGTGCCTTTTGTACAGATTTAATCTTGGTGTCTTGTCTGCGAGCATGTACTGTACCTCATTACCAAGCTCATCAACTATGGAGATGTAATTTGGCTGCGAGCTGTTAGGGTAGGACAACAGGACATCATAGGGCACCATCTCCACTGAGTCCAAGCCAAACTCCTGCCACTCTGCTTTGACCTGCTCTGCATATTTCAGGTTCTGCTCTGTACCAGCCAGGTGGGGGAGCTGTGTAAACTTCCTGTGGAGAGGATGCCAATAGATAATAATAGATGTAGCAGTTACTCACACTCACACAGCAGAAATGTTGTCTGATTGTAGAGAGCTGAGCAGTTAAACTTGGGAAGCATTTGTATGTGCTTGTGTTTTCTCATAATTAATTTTTAGATGTTATTTTTCAAGCTGTTGGTCTGACTTTACTTGACACATGATTCACTGTAATAACATTGATATTAATCCATGACAGTGAACCAGCATGAACAAAGTGTATTTTTCACTCATTCAGCAGTGTTGTTGGATGAATAAAAAGTGCTGACTTTTAGCATCTTAAGTGAGCTTGTGAATGTATAACATTTAGCATGTTAGCTTAGCGTGATAATATGTTTACAACAGTTATAACATCTAGTTTAATAGCATGTAATGAAAAGAAGTCCAGAGTACACTCAACTTAGTAAAACTGCTTTGACATTCTGTGCATACTTGGCTTGGAATGAGTTGCAAAAAACCACTAAACATTCCCTCCCTTCCTTAAATACCGCTGACGATTTTTTATATACTGCTGTGAGGGAAAGGTTGCTGCATTTCATACTACTCAATCTGAAGTGCAATGCGTTATGAACAACAGTGGTATGGCCTGCATACGTTTCTATTTTTATTTCCCCTTGTGTTTCTTTTTTTTGTATTGTATGTGTTCTAACGTGAAACTGTCTGTTTAATGTGAAACTACATGTTGCCGTCTTAACCAGGACTCCACAGAAGATTAGATCTTGTCTTTCAATGGGGACCTCCCTGGCTAAATGAAGGATAGACAAACAACGAACACCAAGTTTTCTTATTTTATTTACCCTTAAACAGCTTTAAAGCTATTGGCTCATTTCTTGCTGCCTGTCAACCTGTGATGATGGAGTCCAGATTTTCAGGACTCGTGACTCATCTTGGTTTTGAGCACTGATGGCTCAGACTCCAGCACTGGCTGCATTCAGACTCAGATGTTGGTGACTGACTACAACAGCACTGTCAGCAGCACAAAATAAAGTTCTGTGGGTTTGAACATGTAGTGACTCACCCACTGGTCTTGTGAGTCACGAGCCACGGAGGGGCTAAGGTTGAGTTAGTGTCATTAGTTTTAGAGGCACCCTGTCAAGAATTGTGTTGCTACGCAAGAGAAAAGTTTGGCCTGTTAAAAATTGTTCAGGAAACCACATTCTTCAAAAAGTCTTCCAAATCTATCCTAGCGGCACTACGAACATCTGCACCAAATTCACAACAAGCATCTATCACGATACTGTAGTGGACATTAAGACAGCTGTTTCCTTAGAACTTTTTCCTTTAAGGATGCAAGAAAGCACCCGATTTGAAGTAGTTTTGAAGAAAACCACCATACCATTATTTGTTCTGACGTCCTTGTGCTAACAGAAAGAACAAGTATAGTAAGGTTGTACTGTTTACCTGAGATGCTGTCTGATCAGATCTGGTTGCATTTCACCCAGAAACTCTCTCAGATAGTTGCTGGAGGCACTGCTGTTTACAGTGTCTGGATGTGCCGGCTTTGCAAACCATCCTGTAGCACAAATCAAACAGACAATGGATGTGACATTAGTGTCATTTCCCTTGAGAACAAAATCGCCACCACATGGCTTTATGAAGTAATAACGCCATTGTGCTCACAGCAGGCTCACAATTTTATCTCCTTGTATGGTGCATCAGTTTATTTTACTTCAGCAGCTGCCTTCACTTCTATTTAAACACATCATGCTCAATTATCTTCATTGTTATTATATTATTAAACATAGTTTTCATAAACAACAAACATGCAGAGCATACAGTAGATACCACTTGTGGATTATTGACTTAGATTTGTGTCCAGTTTAAGCTGCTGTGTTATCACGGCTTACCCACGATAAATCCCAGGAAGAACAAGGCTGCTACAACAACAATCCACCCAATGCACCGAGTTACCCTGTTCTCCTTTCTCATTGTAAAGCAGTCCCAGAGGCTTCCACAGTCCGGTGCCACTGACTCTGCGGCACACGCTCACAGAAATAGAGAGTAATTTAAGGAGTGCACAGTGGGGGTAGAGCGGCGCAGAGTGTGAGAGAGAGAGAGAGAAGGAGGGTAGTTCCCAGTCAGTGTTTGACTGAATAAAAAGACAGGGCTAATCTTTAATGCAATGCGTGGCCTGTGGGCTGATAACTATCTTGTACAGCTTTGGTGCTCCAGTGCTGACTCTGCTTTAGTCAACATGAGACCATATGACCAACAATGCACTCTGAATAGACTTACTTTCAAGCTGGAGCTACAGTTCTGCACAGAAGGGAGTCAAGAGTGAGTCCCTACAAAGTGACAGGATCAGGAGATACATCTAAAAGGTGTCATGTAGTTGTATATGCTGGAATTAAAAATGTTTGTGTTCTATTTAAATTCATGAAGCTGTACATGTGTGGCAATGATGAAGATACTGAGTTAACCTAATTACTAAGTCAAAATGACAACAAAATGAGTAAGAATAGTGATTCACAATCTCATAATTGTTTTCTGTGTGGGTGTAGGAGTGAAGGCAAGTCTACAGGTCAAAGTGGTCAGGGTCATCAAGTGGACACCCTCTCACTAACTGGTGTTTCCTTGAGTTGGGCCCATGACACAGAATACTCAACAGCATGTTCCTGCATCCCAGAACCACCCCCTTCTTTATCTTTACCCACACAGCCAACACACTCCTCCATCAGGATTTACTCCTTGATATTCTATCAAACCAACTAATCAGGCCTACTTTCAGCAAATAATATGGTCCACACATCTTCTGCCATCTTCTGTAATCAACCCCCAGCTATCCCATCTTGATAATCATTTAAACAAACCTCCTCTATAAATTCAGTTAGTTTGCTTAGTTAGTTTCATCAATCCACCCTCCCATTTCTGCATTTACCTGTCTTCTCTTAAAGTGTTACGATTTAACTTCGCTTCCTGTATTTGTTTGTGTTCACCCCGTCTCTCCCCGCTGTTCTGCCACCGTAATCAGCCATCTGCGATGGATTGGCGACCTGTCCAGCCAGGGTGTACCCCGCCTGCCCGTCCTCCTGGTTTCTGGCCTTACCTGTCCTGTTGGCCCCCTGCACCTCCTGTCAGCCCTGAGCCTGCTAAACGTCCTGCCACTCAACATACTTGTTAATTATTTAATAAACTGCTTTCTCTAGTTTCTGAATCTGCATCTGGGGTCCACACCACACACCGATTGTAACATACAGAGCCATTCACTGGTTCTTCCTGCCATGTTTTTACTGCCTGCTTTAGGCACTGCCCTTTCATAATTTAACTCACCTAACAGAGGAAAAATTGACTTGCCAACAAGACCCCTACAACCACCCTCCACTGGACAAACCTTAACTATCCACCCACACTCCTCTGCCTCCATAGCCAATTCTGTATTTCACCTTTTCCCTGTCAGTCCTTTTCCCTGTCAGGGACAATATACACAATCCGATGTGTTTCTGATCTCATGACAAGATCTGGTCTTAGATTAGTGTTGAGACAGCAGGCAGGTGAAGGTGTTATGAACATAGCAGGCCTTCCAGGCAAAACAAATGCTTTGGTGCCTGCAGTTGGGTCTTCTGCTGCAACTGTTATGGCCCCTGACAGCGTGTGACCTACCCATCTCTAAGCTAGACAGAATGTTTAGTACGTACATTAAAGGATTTTAGAGCTCCACATAACCAGTATAACAGAAGAGTAAATGTAGGTAGTTTTGCATCACGGTCTCAGTCACTGCTATTAACCCAACAGGCCTGAATTCATGTTACAGCTCAGGTATATACTGCTATTATATATAGCCAGATATATTTCCCCACACTATAAACATGTAGGCCTGGATGTGCTCAACCCCTCCTGGTCCTGTGGGCAGCTGTGCAGGGTGGAGGTCGACTCTTTCATGCGGCGGGCTGGAGCGTGAAGCTGGGAAGCTCTCAGGAATGTGAGAAGGTCACAGACCACAGTTCTGTCACACATTGTTTCTCTGGGGGAAAAAAACTTAAACTAGCAGCCTTGTGCTTGCATGGGGAGTTTGATTTTGATTTCCTTGTATTGTTTGGGTACATAGATGCTGTTAAAATCAAATGCTGTAGTTAATTTTTTTAATTAAATGACCATGACTTGGACAAATGTTTAAATGATGAGCAAATAATACACAATTAAATGTGCCAAGGAAGGGGAGAAAAAAATTAACACCCACATGTGATGGTTGAACGTGTCATTTAAGTCCCATGGGCAATAATGTGCTTCTATTACAGCCTCCACTCTGCAGGGAGGGCTCACCATAAGGTATAGGAACCTGGCTCCAGGGTTTTACATTCAAGATTTTTTATTTGCCATTTATGCATAAACAGTCTAGGCATATAGGAATTCTTGTGCAGCTCTCCTTTGGAGTCAGATAAGGAGTCAAAAACCAGAAAGAACACTTAGTCTTAAAATAAAAAAGTTACATAAAGGCAACAAAGCATTAAAACCTCAATACACAAAAATAGGGTAATAGTATTTTCCCAGTGAACTTCAAACATCGCACTAAGTAATTCACATGGTGGAGTTGGATACGTCATTACGCTTGGTGAGGTAGTGAGGGGCTATAACATACTAAAACAGTTTATATTCAGGCCTGTTTCCATTGCTTGGTAGAGAATGTCCTGCTATTATTCAGGTCCCACAAGAGAACACTGTTGATGAGATGCTCTTACAAACATACCTTGTGGAACATTTCTGTATTATTATTGCACATGTCTAGTAAGGGGCTATTGCACATACAGTGGGTACGGAAAGTATTCAGACCCCCTTAAATTTTTCACTCTTTGTTATATTGCAGCCATATACTAAAATCATTTAAGT